TCATATGTGACAACGTCTGCGGTTTGTCTTCATGGTAACCATCAAAGAAAACAAACAATGTGCTTTTATTAAAACTATGTTTCGTGTTAGTTTGGTTAATATGAAGCCATTCCGCATACTTAGACCTGGTGTACTAAACATATTTTACGCCTGTTTTTGCTGTGGCTTGCCGCATCGAAATTCCCAGGAAAGAAGTTTTCTTAATAAGAAAACAACATATCCATTTTTACATTTACAGTAATTGCCACGCCGCTCCTAAACTGTAAATGTCTTGACAAACTGAAGACTATTTGAGTTTCAATTTGTCGAATTGAAAATGACTGACAAGATTAAAGTTTCCTTCGAAAGATTTTGAAAAATTTAGTCAGTTCTCTTGATAGTGGAGTTCATCCTTTAAGGTTTTAACCCCATACTCATTATCTAAGCGTAGCAACTACTCAATGCAACTACAGCGCATGCCTAAGCTATCTAAACTTCCTACCTGCGCATGGCACCGGAATTCCGCCCTGAAAAGGAATGCCCCTTGAAGGAGGTAACCCATCATGCCATTAACTTAACTTAACCTAGTGCATGTAGCACCTACAGGTGACCTCCAACTGGGGTGGGTTGAACTACTCATGCATTATAGGGGATCCATGCAGGAGTGCCTTAATAGTCAATGTAGAAAGCCGTTCATGAAATTGGCCAACTACAACGACTGCATGCTCTTACCGTACTAGGGGAGAGATATTTTTCTTTCCACCAAAACCACGATCTTCCCTTCGTCTTCAATAGGCCTTCCTCGCTTGATCCAGTCTTCAAAGGTCTTCTTACAGATGCTATTTGCATCCTCTACGCTAAGGTACCATTTGTACCCACTAACCCCAAGTTGAAGTTGCCTTCCTTGGGCCAAACTTCACTTGCATTTCCGAGTCTAAGCTATGGTCCTGCCTATCCTTCTGCGAGGCAACAACCGCTGCGATCATGCGTAGCTCCTTAAAGCAGTATATTCACACAGAGGTTTTTCGAAGGTAAATTACATAGAACAACACAACTGTTGCATGCCAGTCACAGACTTAAATTAGTTCATACAAATTCACGCTTACTAAGACACAAATTTTAAAAAGAATTAAAGCAGCACCGATAAACACTATTGGATTATTTTAACCAAAAGAACACTTTTATTACCTCTTAATCAAGACTATTTTTGAAAATGCAGATGTAAATTTCTTTAAATATATATATTTGCATTCCTGCATTAAAAAATAGCCTTACAGTGGAATATACTGAACACCAGGATTTGTTGTGGCTATTGCCCGAATTATATTAGAGATTTGACCTGTTAACAGGCCTAACTAAATAAAAGGTTTATTATTATTACACTTACGGTTTTCGACGAATCCTTGGCAGTTCGACGACAGACTACGATGAATGACAAATCTCATGCCAATTGTGAAGATGAAACGATCGGATGTTGAGCAAGGACAGCCACAAAAAAGCCCAAAATAATTTTTTGAAAAATTCAGAACGTTGATGGTGAAACCATCGTATCCAATTTTCAGGCTACCTGACAAACATCACCGCTTTTATGTCGACGACGGCAAGCACAGAAACAAGATTGGCCATTTCTTGCAACTGTGCATGTCGTCTACGGCATTAAATCGGAAATATCGACAGCCAGTCGGAAAATTAGGATTTTTAGGTTTTTTATTTTCATGTTAAGGAAATTCCATGTTTTTATTACAAAAATTTTCAATTAAATAATGTTGAAATTTGGGCATTTGATAGCGGCGTGCTTTTATCCATCATTGCGATTGATTGACCAGTCGTGATTTTAGCAGGAAAACTCCCAGGAAAATGTTTTAGAAAAGGTCATAATATTGACTTTTCCATGGAAACATGCGTTAGGCTGATGGATGCATTGCTCCAAAACAGTGTTTAGCGTTTGCATTCTTTTTAGAGATGGCCTTTAGGGCATTAGAAGTCACGTATCTTTAAATTTCATCAAAGTATATTGTTCATTCTTGATCATTGTTCAGAAGAGTTCATTAAAGTACATTGTCAATTCTTGACCATTGTTCAGAGGTCTTCATTAAAGTATATTGTTCATTCTTGATCATTCTTCAGAGGACTCGTTAAAGTATGCTGTTCATTCTTGATTATCGTTCAGAGTTCTTTCTTAAAGTAAATTGTTCATTCTTGAGCATTCTTCAGAGGACTTCATTAAAGTATGCTGTTCATTCTTGATCATTGTTCCAGGGATTTTATTAAAGTATGTATATTGTCCATTCTTGATCAGAAGGTTTCTACATAGGACAATTGAAGCCAATGTCAGTTCACACTACTTTACTTCCATAAATGAAAAACATTGATAACATACTTACATTGAACATTTTATTCACTAGTAATGTAGTTCAAGGGAAGAAGAATTTCAACCAAATTACAGAATTGTATTTTGTTCTTATGTTTAGATGAGCGTCGAGGAACTGGTCGACAACAGCCACAATGCTCTTCAACCGCTGTGAGCAATAACCACTTTCTTTAATTGTGGAGTCTACGATCGTGGTAAATACACCAACATTTGTTCGTTGTTTCTCAATCTCATTAGATGACTAATTGTCGTTTAAGAGAAGAATGTCCATGTCTAAAATCAAGCATAGAGGAAACAAAAGTTACTAAGACGGAAACTTTATGGAAAGGCCACACTGCACTTTGCATTAATGAACTTCACATGCAGTGTCCCAATTCAATGTTTACTCAATGCAAAAGAACTTGAAACAAGACATTTACCTGAACATTTTTCAAAGCACTCCAAGAGATATTTCACCGTGGAATAATTTTGACTTCGGCTAACTATTCTTCGTGCAACTAAAGACTTTCACGTTCAAATGGCACGTTCTTAGTCTTAGACTATGGCCCAAGTTTCACGAACTTGTTGTATTCTGATTCGTCAGTGACTAGGTGTGTTGTAAACTGTTGTGTTCTGATTGGTCATTTACTAGGCGTGTCGTAAACTGTTGTGTTCTGATTGGTCATTTACCAGGTGTGTCGTCAATTGTAGATTGTGAAATTTAGAATTTGCATGATTCATCACTTAGAAGTAATTAATCCCCATAGAGCGGTAAATGCAATTTAATACAATATAAATAAAAACGTATACTTCAGCTACAGCAAATAGCAAATCCCAAACATTTAAGTCTCCTTGGGGAACAACTACAGCTGAATCATGCAAATTCTAAAGGTCCACTGATGTCAAAAATGATTTGATAAACCCTCTAGATTGTTATCTTCATCTCATTTTCTTATTGTATTTATTAGCATTAACATTTGATCTCTTTTAATTAGCATTCTACAGGGTGTACATAAAAACGACGTTTGGCAATTAAACTACTGTAAAATTTCGAAACCCAATCACTGTGCTAACCTCACTAGTGCATTACATTTTCAATGGAGGAAAATCTTTTGTGCTTGCATCAACGTAGCTAACAATGTTCCATGCACCTGTGGGCTTGGCGTAGTGACAGACATTGAAATTATACAAAGGTCTTCAATGGTAAATGAAGGCTGACCAGCTAGTTTTGCACACATCAAAGGAATGAACCGGATAGAAAAATATTATTACAATGTATTTTTTATTTTTTTATTCAACTATGAGCCGGCATTATATGTTGTCCATTTTAAAGAATTTTCAATCTCCATGCGACAATGTGAAAGTGTGTAAAATGAAAGACTACAGTCTTTGGTGTGAAAGTGTGTGAAAATGAAAAATTCTACTCTTTGGCATCAAGATGTGTGAAAATGCATAGTATATAGTCTTTGGCATTAAAATGTGTGAAAATGCAAAGAATATAGTCAATGGCAATGTATGCAGTTGATTACTTTTATAAACTTACCTTTAGTTTTAGGGACTATTTATATGAGTCCGATAGCCGGGATTCAGCGAACGAACATGTAACATGTAACATGTTCTTACACAAACTTTCGGCAGTTATTTCAGTAAACAGTAAAGATACAAACGATGGACATAAAAGCAGCTAATATTGGAGGCAACAATTCGCCAAGAGAAACCCGACCTTGTGCAAAAAAAATTTCCGCAATGCCATTCTGTAACGGTCGTTATTTCGTTAACGTCTTTTCTGACTTCTTGAACGACTTTTTCAAAGAGCTTAGCAAAAAGTAATCATGTATTTAACGTAAAGATCTTTGATAAACCAGCAATTGTCAAACCTTTGGTAAAAAACCACCATGTACAACAAAAACTTCGGCAATGCCATGTTTCTTCGTCAACATCTTTTCTGACTTCTTGAAAGACTTTTCCCGACAGCTTCGAAAAATGAATAAGGAATGAAGTATAAAGTTTGACTGAGGAAGAAGCAGCTGATATTTTAGGGTAAAACTGATATAAATTTTGTTAAAAAACGTAACTCTTTAACGGCCATTTTCGATTTTTCGAGTTTGGAAACGACTTTTTGCAACAGCTTCAAAGAAAGAATCATGTATTCAACAGGTTTAACTTGTTGTGATGTTATAAAATATTGTGAAAATGGATTTGCAAGGCAGAAAGCGAATTCTTAGTATAAATATAATTGCCCATCATAAAACTTTTAATATGGCCATGGTTATATAATTTTATCAACAATAACGTTTCGACTTTAGCTGAAGACATCTTCATATTACAATACATACATGTAGGAAGTAGTAAATCCTATTCTTAGAAATTTTGTACAATGCTTACAATAACGACTGTATGCGTTACGCTTCTTTGAAATAAAAGGTTATATTACTCACTGTAATACTTTGAAACTTACAAATGAAATATTTTACGTAATACTTACGATAAAGATTGTTTCAGCAAGAAATCTTTACACATAGCGCGGGAAAGATCGCAAAAGTCATATGACGTATTGATCAAAATTGGTCACGTGTCAAGTCGTATAAACATTCGCCAGCAAGAGCTGGGTGACGCGGGATATGTAAATTGATCAAATCGTGCTGAGATAGCACAACATTTAATAGCATAGTACGTTTCGTGTGATGTATTTAATATACGATTGTTTTCATTTCAAGTTAAATATTATGTTTTAACTTATTAAAACCCAGTATGTTGTACTATTATATAGTAGCAAATACTGACAAATTATATCTGTATACAACACATACAATAAAGAGTCCTTGAAGTTGATGCATCGGGAAATTCTTCTACTTTGTAGACATATTATATTTATATATACTGAACTATACGTATGTTATATATATACAATATAACTTATACAATTTCTTTGATCTTTTTTTCATCCTACAAGTTTTACCTTTTAACCTTTATGTGTAGAAGGAACAGTTTGTGTTGTCGTTGTCGTCGTTGAAACAGACGATACCGTTGAAGTTTGCCTGTAAAATATTTGCTGAAAGTTTAGAGAAAAAGTGATAAACTATTCATGAAATAATAGGTAGTAGCATTTTGATTTTCTTTCTAAAACAAGCCAAAGTTTGAGTTCTTTGTGTTGTATTATTACGAAATAAAAGATTTTTACTGTGTTTGCACGGGCTTATGCAAAACGAGGAGACCTTTGGAAGAACACGAGAGCAGATCAGTGCAAGCCCAAAACCGAAGGTAGAGTGTTGCACATGCTCAAGAGTTCTCACAAACGTCTCCAAGGTTTGCATAAGCCAGTGCAAACAGGAAAAATATCTTTTTAAAAAAATATCAATAATGCGAAATAGACAAATTTAAAACAAACGTTTTAATTTTTCCTCTAAAATGTATTCATGCTTGACTTGCGAATTCTGTTTGATTGATTTGATTTGTTAAGCTCAGATCGGTTTGCACAAGCCAATGAAAACATAGCTATAGAGCAATTAAGAGAGAAAAGAGAAAACTAGCACAATCAGCGCATGCGCTTGATGGCTTTTTGTTCTTGTTTTCACTTTCAATTTTTTCTGTCTCTTCTTGCCTTACAAACATTAACAATAAAAAATCGTTTAATATTCTGTATATTGAACAATAAATTACATTCAAACATGATCACGTGTTTACTCAAATGAAAAAGATCACGTGTTTACTCACATGAAAAATGGAAAGTATTTGAACAAACAACTCTTGCAAGGATTTTCACCTAACTCTGGAACAGCACCCAGACTATAATTGATCAATTTTCTCAAGTAATTCTCCAATTGTTTCCGACGTGTTTCCACAAAATTGACGTCACGATTTCCAATAATTTTCTTCGCGGGAAACGTGAATTGTGCAACAGGTTTAAACTGCTTACTTGTCTGTGCATAAAAATGAAAAGGAAGGGATTGTACATTACGGCAAAAGAATATGATTAAAAAAATTAAAATACTGATGTTTATTAAAAACCTTCTTATATAGGGCATAAAAATCCGAGTATCTTTTGTAAACATTCCATTCATCGTCTTTGATACGGATATAAACCTTGTGAAGTAAACAATGTTAAATTCTTTATTGACGACAATAAATGGACCACTGCGCAGATGATACAAATATACATAGGAAGTTTATATTTGATGATTCTCCGTATAAAACAGTGCTCGATGCCCGCGAGCAGAGCGTAAATATGTCTAGTGGTGTTGAGAAAAAAATCACAAAACTACAGATCCATCCCAACAAGCCTGTTTCGTGATTAAAGGAAAATCCCCTGAAGAGTGAGCAGTCACGAAACAGGCTTGTCGGGATGAATCTGTAGTTTTGTGATTTTCTCAACACCACTAAACATATACATATGAAAAGTGAAATATTTGAGCAGTAAATTTAAACTACGGCATGATCTTTTAAATACGATGACCACAAACACTTTTCTCAAGGGTGATGCATTTGAAACGAGGAAAATACCAAATATAGATCATAAATCTTGAAATATAATCCCTAGTTATCCCAAACCTAGTCCAGATAACCATCAACATCACATCGGAAGAGTTATTTACTTTTTTTAGAGATAAATATATGGAAAAAATTATACCTGATAAGAATGGTGAATGTTTGGAGACTTTCCTTGTACAAAAACAGATGGAATCCAAATGTTAATTAAAGGACGAGTATTGACAGACATGAAATTTGGACCAAACTCCGTCAAATATAAACATTCATCATGATTATCGTCCTGAGGAAGCTAGAACATACGAACATACGTAGTTTTATTAAGAAATATTTAGAAAATCAAAAGAATATTTACTGCTTTTCATATTCATACCAAACAGTTCATATTGTACATACCGATCAATATTGTACATCTATTGTACTATAATGAACACACGGGTCTTTACTGAACATACCGGTCCTCTAAGATTGACAAGCTCTTCTTTTAATATTCTTAGCTGACATTCACGAGCGTTCAACATTTTTTGTAGTCTTTCATTGAGTTCAATAAGTTCGCCATGCATATCAGCGACCTTTAAACATGCTAAACAACATTTCATCACAACTTACGCCATGACGTCATCACCATGAAATTTCCCAGGGATGAACAAGAAACGCGAAATCAGTCAGAGTGGCGAGTTTTTTTAAACATATATCACGATTTCATTTCAGTTATTTATCCTCAGTTTTCATAAGTTAAAATATCTTCTTGTATTAGATATTTCTTAAAGTCAACGTGTGCATCGTATAAAAGAGTTTTCTATCAAATAAATTTCGGCTCATCTTCATGAAGCATATGATACCTGAAGACCTTTTAAGGCAAATGTTTCGATTTGTAAAAGTATTATGGTTTAATGGAAATCTTACTTGGATCAACTTCCGCTCAAAATCTTTGTTTTCTTCCTTTCTACAAGAAAAATGAACGAAATTCATCGCCGTTGATTCACTTTTGCTACAAATTTACGGTAAATACCTCACTTCGTCGACGTCAGATTTCGGAGAAAGAATGATGGAAGAAAGTCTTTCATTTTCTGGAGCTGCACAAAAGATTATCGAATATCTTAGATTTCTACATCTATTTTAAAGATAAACTATCCCTCTAACAAACCTTCTTCCATAATGTCATTTCTTTTCAACGATTGAACAGCACCCACGTATTTCTTTAGTTGGTGTTTGAGCAAATCATTTTCACTAAAGAGCAAAAACGAACAGGTCAACAGACATCTTTGATTAACGGAAATGCAGAGTTCTCAATGTCCTAACCTTTTTAAGCCGTTAAGAGCGACGCAATTTTCTTCATTTTTCGACGACATATCTCTTTTTAAATCTTCTAATTGAAGACGAAGAGAAGCTGACTTCATCATCTCTTTTTCCAAATGTTGTTGTAACGATCTACAGGAAAGATGACCGAAGGAAAAATCAGGGCAAAATAGTGTATATTCGAATGGAATGTTAATATTAAACGAAGGACGATAATACAACCTGTTACGTTCTTCAACTTCATCTTTTCTTAACATCATCGATACAATCGCCTATTTTAATTCCTCTTCAACAATAAAAAACCACGTATTTATTGATATTCATGAATTTATAATTATTCACACATACAAATATTCAGTTCACATGATGAAATTTGACGGATGTCTACAAACAAGCAAAGCAACTACGATACAAATAGTAAAATCCAATTGCACTAAATATTTCTATATTTAAAACTAACTCTACCTGCTAATAGCCCATTTATAGTTTGAGAACCTGAGGCAAAAGTGCCTCTCCCGTTCCGAAAACATTTTTCAAAAGATATAAGAAATAAAACCATTTAAATACATGAATAGAAAAACACACAAACCTGAAGTCATTTCTTTGCCTGATGGATATTCCTCTGATGGCTAAAGAACGAAAACATACCAAATATAACGAACTAAATATAACAAAGATATTTACACATGGCTTTCTACCCTCCCCTCCCCCCTCAAAAAAAAGATAAAAGCATTTCATAATTAACTAACATTCATACAACCATCACCCATGGTTCTGACCAATGACGATCCTGAGTAATCATTAATTTCTATGCTACCATCACGTGTGGCACATATCGCTGCAACAGTTGCTCCAATTGCTAAACTTGCATCATTCTCGACGTCTTCATCAGTGTAAATACTGAAAACAACATAAATTACCACCTCAGTTAAAATGGTGAACTCGTTAGACATTCTTGTCGATAAAATAATGAAGTATCTTCTAACCTTGAAACGGGCGAATCATTTATTGAATGAACTAAATGTCGCGACGTCTCAGGTGCAACAGTAAATCGCTCATTTTCATATGACATAGCTAGACCCCTAACTCCTTCATCGTCATCGGGGCAAACTACGGGAATTAGAGATACACCGCTGTTCATATCAACAAGAGGCTCACACACTTCTTCCTCCGACAAGAGGGATGAGTCAGTGTAATGCCCTGATTGCAAAGATGTTGTCAAAGAATGATTTTTTTTCAAATCATTCGCAGTTTTAAACTCGTTTTTAAGATGCAGAACTTCCTGGCTTTTCTTTGTCAATCGAGCCACTTGTTCATCTGTTTCATTCTCGTTGTTGTCAACGTTGGTTTTCGCCATTGTGGAAGAAAGACTTGAATTCTCAGAATTCGAAGAATAAGCCAACTGAGAGTTCTTTGGCATTTCAAGAAAATCGTCAGGACTTTTATTAAAAGCATGGTTACCACGAGCATGTACCTGAGAATCAGTATTACGTTGTAATATATCTTACGCCGCTCGGGTAAAACTCGTGGCACTATCGTGAGCAGTCGTTGTCGTGGAAGAACTACCATGAGAACTGACAGTAGATCCTTCTTCCGTCTCTTTGAATTCAACATTTTCAATTTGAGCAATGTTTGCTTTCTTTTTTTTACGTTTTTTCTTTTCTTTTCCTGAAACACAAAAGAAAGATAAAAGTTACAAATTAATAAAGACGCGTAGGGATAAATGACTACGCATTGTTCAAGTATGATAAAGAATAAATGAGGACGCGCGGTTAAGGGATGATAAGGGATGAATAAACAACAGGTATAGTTAAGGGATAAATGAAGACATGTAATAATGGGATAATAAAGGTTAAGGAGAACGCATGGTTGGGGGATTACAAGGAATAAATGACATGTGGTGATGAATAAGATTATGATGATGAATGTGGTTAAGGAATGATAAGATTAGGATATATGAGATGAATGGTAGGGATAATTAGGGATAAAAGGGATATTTTGATCAGGAGAGAAAATGAAATTCTGATCAAATCTTTATTTTCTTAAAATGTTGTATTTAACAAACTTCACCAGGAGCTCCTGACGTCGCATACATTGGTGATGGTACAGCCCATATTGATGTTGGACGAGAAACTGCTTGGCTGATATTGCCGGAATCTAAAAATTAAATTAAATTCAAGTAGTTAAAGAAAAGTACATTCATAGCTTCCACTTTTTACTATCCATTTCTATTTGCAAAGATTCATTTTAAACAATATCAATAGCATTCCAGCATACCTGTACAGTAATAGAGTTAAACTCAGCTTTGTCAATGTCAATTGCAAAAAGAATTGAACTTAAGCCTTAAAGAAGAAACAAGGAATGATAAAAAATCCATTATAGAAATATAAACAAGTTTATTCTTACCAGCAGCCATCATTGGTAACATACTAGATCGTTCATCATCCAATAATAATGCATCTTGCTCATAATACTGACTGAAATTAAAACAATTACACATCATATAATTATTCTGACATCAACAGCTTACCGTTAAAAGAAAATTGCATTACTATATCGCATTATACATTGGTTATGATAATCATATAGCTTATCAAGCCAAGATTGATCTTTCTTTCTTAAATGTTACTTAAATCAAACTTACAAAAGCAATTGTTTATGCCCAATGAAGCTATGAAGATATTTCTCCAGTGATTGCTCGTTTAAACTAGACCTAAGCCATGCTTGAGCTGTCAAATAAATATCAAAAATAGAAAGAAAAATGTCAGAACAAATTCATGGCATACAAAAGGTTTTACCCACAAACATTCCTGGAATCATTTAGAAACCAACAACTTGACCAACCTCTACCAACATCTGTCATTACATTATGTAAAGAATTATATGTCTTTATTTCACTAGAGCTAAGATGTTCCTTGATAAATAGCCAGAACACAGATTGACCTTCAGATCTCATTAACACCTGCCTTTAATGAACATAGAAATGATGAAAACAAATTATTTAAGAATGGCTTTTAAATTGACTGAATTGAGAGAGGAATGATGAAGATACCTTAAAGAATTTATCTTTTTTGTGGATTTAATGCCAAATTGAAGAACAATGTTCCATTGCTCACAAAGACAAGAGATTCTGTAATTCATCATAAATACAAAGATTATGATAAATAAGGATTATACTATGAAATAAAATGAATACAATAAAATGCAATCGAAGAAATATCAAGTTCACCTGCTATCCTTCTCAGAAGCCAATTCGGTTGTACTACCAAATCGTACCTGACACTAAAGAAACGACGAGGTTCAAGTCGACCAAATCATTCGAGTAAAATCAATACAATAAAAGACGAAACGAAATTACAAGTTCCAAGTTCAAACTTTAAACTACGTACAAATATTTTACAACTAACTTGCTTTACTCCATCCAACAAGCGATCAGTAATTGCTTGCTTTGTAATATCTACACTTGCCAAGTTCAACATAATCTCCACTGAACTAACATGTAAAAAAAATAGTTTTATTTGTCGGATAATTAGAAAAATAATTAAAAATAATTAGATATTAACAAAGTATGTATATACGAGTACCTTATGATCGCTTGATATCACCACATATCAACTTTCACCACCCATGCTAGCATCAAGAAAGTTCGGAGAAAATACAAAGTGTTTTCTACATGTAAAAAATATCCACGATACACGACAGTATTATTGAAGCAGTTTACAAAAGAAGACAAATGAAGGAAATTTACCAATATGGGCAACGGAAATGATGTAAATGAAATATTTGATGCAAATGGCAGGACGTCACAAAGAGAGGGGAATATTGGGGGCGGGTGGGGATGAGAGAGTACACACAGGGGGGCGCAAAAGACACCCCCAGGGCCCACCATAATACCTCAGCAAACGAATGCATGAAAAACATGTCACATGCATTAATTTCTATAAGTTATTTACTGAGATAAATCAACGCTAGTAAAAAATGTTTCATCGAATTCTAATATCAAATACCATGAACAGAGATTCCAAATTCTAAAAAACGTATGATAAAATGGAAAAATCAAAAGGTTTTTAAATTCTTTTATCCAATTTCACTTAATGAACATCATTGAAGTAAAAAATCAAATGTTAACAAATCACAAAATTTATCAGACTAAACTATGAGTA